TGAGAGAACTGCCTGGCGAGTGCATTAGCAATGTCTCTTGGTGAATCGAAATCAGTACCCTCGTGGATGTTATTAATTTTGAAAGATGTTTTTTTCTTATTGATTTTATTGACAGTGGACCAAACTTCTGATATTTTGGTAATGCTCTTAATTGTAGAGACAAAACTCCGCCAAGAGTCTCTTATTGCTTGTCATATTACTCTACGAGCCCTAGCTCTTGCTTATTTGTAGATGCAAAAGGTCTCATTTGTGATGATCAGCACATTTACGGTAAACATAATTATTTGAGTCTTTATCAATACATCTTAATGAGGTGTGTCCGAATTTTTGGCATCTATTACAATGCATTGGCTATTGGACATAAGGTCTTACTTGAACACGTTCATAACCGACATTGACATACTCTGGGATTTTATCCAAATTTCATTGTACACTTCTAGCAATTTAATCATGGCATCATGATTAAGATACTTTATCATCTCATATCGAATCTCATCGGGGCCTGGGGATGTTCCTCTACAGGCTTCTAGGGCTCGGACAAGCTCATCCATTGTTAGGTCTTTATTGTAATCAAAGTTATCTCCTGTGGCAAAGTGAATAGGTTGCAGCTCAGCCGCTTCCTTGATGGGCAGGAATGCGGGATGGTAATTTGCTGAGCTGCTTGTATGAGAGAACTGCCTGGCGAGTGCATTAGCAATGTCTCTTGGTGAATCGAAATCAGTACCCTCGTGGATGTTATTAATTTTGAAAGATGTTTTGAAAAGCCTGTAGGCCTTATTGTGTCGGCATAGCGCCCTGCGGCAATCTGATGTCCACCATGGAACTCATATATGCTAATATCTCAGTTTCCTTCTTCAGGATGCTGCACTCAGCAGATCCTGACTGATGGGGACCTCCACAGTTTGCACATTTGAAAATCTGGCTAGTACATGTGATGGTGTCATGGGGCTTCAGCACATTTACGGTAAACATAATTATTTGAGTCTTTATCAATACATCTTAATGAGGTGTGTCCGAATTTTTGGCATCTATTACAATGCATTGGCTATTGGACATAAGGTCTTACTTGAACACGTTCATAACCGACATTGACATACTCTGGGATTTTATCCAAAGTAAAGGTAAAAAAACACAGTCCAGTTTTAGTTCGCACATTCCCGTCCTTCTTGGTCATACAATGAACGTCCACTACGTCTTGGTCCTTCATGCTCGCGAGAATTTCACTTTCTTCCATCGTCCACAAATCCCTGTGAAAGATTACTTCCTTACAGGTATTTGGGCCAATAGGAATAGTTACTTTAACTTTGAGGTCATGAATTTCCGTCAGCTTAAGTAAATCCTTAATCTGGGAGTTATATTGTACTATAACAAGGAGGCTTCCATCTCGCATTTTTTTTTACAAAATCAAAATCGCCGTCCACTAGACCATCAAGGACCTTTTTGATGATAAAGGGGTTCACGTTCAAAAGCGATTGATTTTCATTCACGCATTTTACATTCGCGAACCTCGCATTCTGGGTGGGGATTTTGAAAAGTGGTCTTTTTGTTTTGCCATTAGTGGGGGTACCGTTGTTCGTAATCAGACTGATCATAGAAGGGTCATGAGGAGAAGAAAGGGTAGCCGGGGTATCATTCATTCTGGGTATCGGACCAGGTCCGACCACTCGTCTAAAAATTGTAGTCTTGAAGGGATCAAAAACTCTTAACTTTTGGTATCAACCTAATAGCTAAGAAATTAAGGCAGTTTTCCGTCCTCTACCCCCCCCCCCCCCGTGGAAACCTGGTTGCGTTCTCCAGTACCACAGAGGGATCGAGTAATGTGTAGGACACTTCCTTACCGCCGAACTTACCTAGGCGATGGACGGTAATTCAATGCCCACTCCCAAGCGAATACGGGAGTTCACGAGGAACTCCGGTACGCTCAGGAAGTCACATTAAGAGGAAAAAATCAGAAGCAAAGAAAAAGTGCGCCCAAATGACGCCTCAGATTACTGGGCCTCCCTACCCAGGGGTCAAAGCCCAAAAGGGCTACCCTAGTGTAGAAGAGAGCTACGGTCTGAGGTGGGGTGCTGACTACGCCTACTGTAGCCGGATATGAACGTGTTACCTGCATAACAAGAGCACTGAAGGTGCTGGCAAAGCACTATAAATTATCTGTAATTACAGGATTTTACTTTATTTCATTTACTTTAGAGCACAGAAAAAATAATGTCTAGCGAGAAGAGAGGCCCCAGGCTTCAGGGTAGCTCTTGTGGCACAAAATTTCGTATTTATTGTTGCTGCGTTTTAACAAGGTGTTTGCTCATCAGAGTTTCCGAACAGTATCAAAAGCAATGGTATTAATAAGAAAAACACATTTTCCTGCCAATTCAAAGAATGAGGATATCAGGATCAGAAACTAGGGCCTACTGATAGACGCACATGTGGAGCCATCTGTATGTATCAAATTCACCAAAAACTACAGGGGACAGAATATAAATCTGGGGCGGTTGGGTTAAGACTTCAGAGGGAACAAGATGACAAGTATTCAATTGTAGATCCTGTAAACCCATTCTGAAGGAGGGAAGTTGATAGGCGACAAGGGATCAGTATTCTTGAATCAAATAGCTCTTTCCAAAGAAAACCACAATTTTTTTTTGTAAGATATCTGCATCAAATAATACATTGCCAGTGAAAAAGTTCAATAATCTCTCAATTTTGCTAAGAGTACTATTTCTGTAGAAAAGATTTAAATCCAAACTTATTCTAGACTCTTAGAGGGAACAAAGATTTTCTTAGTAGGCAACAAGGACAAGTTGGTTCTATTTCTTGCAGAATTAGTGAAACACCTGGTTAGGTGGCTCAAGTCATACAAGCTAAACATTATCTTCATGGAAACTAGACACTCAAAACTTAACCCCAGGTCTAGGATGGTGTTACTATTAGACCACTCAGAGGTATGTGGATCCCCTATAGGTGACGGAAAAACATTAATGTCGGAGAACTGAAGACAGTCCCCATAGGCTAGCTCTGTCAGAAATACAAGTGAATTCCTCAATTAATCAATTCCTTTTAGACATTGTCAGTCATTCCTTGCATCAACAAGAAGGGATTGACTCGCTTGGGAAGCCTGTATCAGAACATATTTTCAGCCTCAGTCCAAACAATAACTGTCATCTGACTTTGTCTAATTTGGGGTCCTAGAACCTTTTGCCACATGCCCAATTCCAAGACAATAGAGAGGATTCTATTACACAGGATTTGCAGTTCATTAGGTTGCCAACAGATCACAAATTAGACAAATTTACTTCAAGGACAGAGATAATAACCTCAATAACAGGGGAACCCAATGCATTTACTCTAGATTTGGCAATGTGTGGTTCCATCTACCTTTTAATCTCCACTCAGATATGATAGCCAAGTTGATCCTTCATTTAACCCTTTCAGGTCGGGTGTCAAGTATACGTAACATGCCCACTGAGAGTTTACTCGTTTAATCGTTTTATTACATAGATGGCTACACTTGTTGCAAGTACTGCCTGTTACGCATGTTTACCCTTTTCTTTAATTTACGAAAATATTTTACGTTATCTTATTTTGCTGTTACTAATGTTTAGAACATTATAGTAATTATAATGTTTATAATAAAAATAACCATCGATATTCATAGCACTAGTAAAAAATACATTTTCCCGCCAAATGAAAGCAGGTAAGGCAGAGCCATCTATGTGTAGAGATATTTCACATAAAGTTTAAAAAATGATCACAGCATTTTCCCCATTTTTTGTTCAATTTTACCCGTCGCAAATGGGTTAAAGCAATATCAATGAAAATTATTACTTGTTTCTCCCCTTTGTTAGAACCAAATTTAGAGTTATCCAACCAAGTCTCCTGCGGCATCAGGTGTCATCCAAGGTGTTGCCCAATGTTTTGTTGGCATCACTCAAAACCTTAGAATCTGGTCCAAAAGCTAACTAAGCCAGGAGTTGTGCTGTTTTATTGGCTTTTTTTAAATCTTTTGATTTGGGTACAGTAAAGGGGTTAGGCGAATGGGCATCAGCCAATTCTTTGGTTACAAGATATTCTAAAACGTCAGACCCAAATCACACAGCTTATTAGCCATAAAATTTAAGGGTTTGGGATATGGAAAACCCATATTTTATAGCATTTCACAGTTGGAAGGTGTATATGAGTTTTCCTTGTGAAACTCTTTCTTTTTTAATACATAATAATTCCAATAATTCTAATTCAGATATTTATAATATGGATGGTTGTCATATTTTTGTTCAGTGTATGAGGATACATGAGAATGATAATTTGCATATTTCATCCATTAACCCAGTGCCAATGAGGCTGGCATCTTTCATATATTTGCCCTTTTCCTTGATTTTTCCTATTAGTATTGTTAATAACATTTAACATTTAAGTCAATAATGATAAAAGTATAGGTATAAATTGCACTTGAAAAAAATGCACTTCCCCTAAACTTGAGGAAAGGGGAAGTTACGTGGTCATGTAGGTCTACTGATTTACTCCTAGTTCGCTGAGCACTTGTGGAGCTATCTATTTTTAGACAAAATTCACAGAACAAGATGAGTAGACATAACATGCTCTAGGCAGCAATGAGTTAAGAAATTAACCTTTTATATCCTGGAAAAGCCAATTTTCTATATCCTTCTCTTTTAATACATTTCACCGGAAAACTTGAGAATTTATTGCAATTCGCTATGGAATCAATTTTGAGAGGCAGATATAAATAATCCCCCAAAACATGAATGACAATGGACTTGAGAGACAAAAACTCAAAATCCATTGTGTTTAGCAATAACAACTGTATGGTTTCCTTTAATAAAACAGGATAAAGCTGCGTACCAGATATGTCCAGCAACTATTACCCAATGTTTAAACAATGCAATGTTTAAAACAGACCCGTGTTGTAGTCTACCAATCAGATAATTTGGTAAATACATTGTAGAAAGTCAAATATTTTAGAAAGGTAGGTAAAATGTGCAACTGAAAAGTTTTATGTAGAAAACTTTTTAATTGAGATTACCAATAATTTCATACAATGTATGCTTTATATAAACATTTTTCTTTTTTATACAGAAACATCATATACTGTTAGTGAGCTGTCTGCCAAATCACAAGATGTAAATAATTTTACATAAGACAGGTATATGGGTATAACATACTGTTGTAATTTATAATATTTGAACATACTACCTCCCCTGGAAGTTCAGCCTCCTACTCAGCTGCATCCTCCAGTTCCAACGTACATCTCCAAAAGAAGAAACCCCACAGACAACAGATGATGCAGTGAAGTAAACATTTTAAAATACTGTCAAATTACTTTTTTTTTTCCTAATTTTCATCACAATCTAAAAATGTGGCAAATTTTAAAGAACTGTGTATCACAACAAATGTTTTAAAAATTGTCTAGCAAAATCAATGCACATGTCATATAAGAAATAAAGTAAAGTATGAGCCTATATTGAGACCATCTCAATAAATCTAGACTGTACATTATAACATCTAGCTGATGTAAGGATGGTTATGTGATATTCATATTTTGTTATACACTCTCCTGCATTACAAAGTACTGTCATTTCACAGAAAGGGTAACTTCTCTTAATTTTAGAGTCAAAAGAATATAGACCAGTGAAAGCCAGCTCCAAAAGGGAACAGAGCGTGCTTTCCGAGGTGGCTCCATTAAGCCTTTGGATATGATATCTCTCCTGTCATTGTTCATGAAAGTACACCAGTTTCCATTTTTTCACTGTGTCAGTTGGTTTGTTGCCATTGTCATCTTGGGTGTCCTGGATAACTTCCCATCATCAGCCAGAGCACCGGCTTAGCTGGTTGTTGGACCAGGGAGTATAAATTATCTTTACAAATTCTATCTCCATCCATAGGGTTAATGGGCCATCAACACCCTATGGAGTAATTATGCACTCTGGGATCCTCCACTTGGGAGGAGCTTGTTTAGAAAGGTTATAAAGTCACTTCAAGATCCGATTGATTATAAAAATCAAGGCAAATTTGAGAGCAATTTTGAAGCCAAATAAGAATATACTAACCTAAGAAGTCTTACAATACTTCTATATTCTGGACAAACTCATTTTGTTCAAGTTAAAGAAAGGCTCAAAGGAGGTCATAAAAGATGCACGCATTCCACAAACACAAACGGACAGATGAACAGCTTATTACATTAAAGCCAGGGTTCCACTAGCCTCTTTTTTTTACTCTGGAACCAAATTAAAATCAGTCATTACTCAAATTTTGGCTATGCCTAGTAAATGCTTTCTAAGGAAATTAGGGAGACAGACCTGGAACATTCTGTAACCAGATCTGCTTTAGTCTAATCTATGATCATTTTAAACATTTGTTAAATATTATGTAGTTAAAATTTTGAAGCTATACTAGGCATATACTTCTGATACTGGGGCAGTGCCTGAGAAGTGGAACCCAGGATATAAGACAGCTTTCCCATATACTCTGCAATGGAATGGAAGCTTACAAGTGTCCTTGGCCAGTCTTGTAACAAATGTGTAGCCTAAATGGGTGTATAGCCACATTATATCACATAAAGTGTTGTCACGTGTGGCATCAAAACCAATGAAATATCAAAAAATAATTGGCCAAAATATGTTAAAGTAAAAAATAATGACACCACTAGAGAAAAAAAGTAAACTTAATCATAAAAGAAAGAGGTATAAAGAATCAAATAACAATGTCAGTTGATAGGCAAAGCTAACTTATTGAAATCAGAAAATGACTGTCCAGTGGAAGGAACTACTCGCACTTATGATGTATACTGACAACCATAATTGACATCAAAATTTGGGTTACAGAAGAGTTTGTGAAAAATTATGCATTACAAAACTGTAATACTGAAAGTAAGGTCTTTGTTTTGACAGTTTAAACTGCCTTATTTTTATATAGATCTTTTTAGGAGCCCAAAATTTGTCTTGTGGTAGATTAACACCATGCAATTTTAACTATATAGTATGTACATTTGCAACACCAAAGCTTACAAAATATAATCTTTATCGCAATAAAAAAAAGTAAAAGATTTATCATGGAATGACTGGTTTAGTGTATTACATTGTATCACAATGTACAAATGAAAGATACAGCTATCAACATTGTTTATTATTGCCCTCTGGAATACCTACAGCTACTAAAATTTGAAGAGAAAAAAAACTCCCTGGAAAAAATACTGTTTTTTGCATGACCCATTTCATAAAATACTTTACAAAGCATACAAGACTTGGCTGTCTTATTCACATTACTTTTTAAGGGATTGCATAAATGCTGTGAGTTCATATTCACTTTGATATTGGTCTTCGTCCCAAAGCTCTGGCAGATTCTCCAGCACTGCTTTTGCTCCTGTGCAGCCAACCCCAAGCCCCTGAGTGCTACCTGTGTCATCACCTCTGTTTTGTGCCTCAGCCTTGCCACCAGAATCCAGAGTGAACAGATCTAGCAGCTGAAAAAGAAATAATGAATAAAAGTTAAAAAAATATATATTTGTCACTGTTTAATTTTAAAACAGTTCATAAATTCTCACTGCTGACAACTGGTAATTTTAGGGCCAAAATATGAAACCTTAAATAGGCTATATATAACAATCCTATATTATCAGACACAACCAAAACCACTTATTAGAAGATAAATAAAAAATATATATATTTAAGATTTAAACAGATACAACTGTCGAATCATCTGGAAGAAAATTCTATTTTTACTAGAAGCTCCACTAACCTGATTCGTGGCCATGCTAAGCAGACTAGAATTCTCATGGCTGATCACTGTGTTTGCTGTCATCATCTTAAATTTCTGCAATCTGAAATCAAGCAGACAGTAAAACGCCATCAGTAGCTGCAAAGATTATTTCAACAAAGAATGACGTGTTAAATTCAATTCTTGTTATGCTTTATTACAAGATGCAAATTATTTTGATACCCCATAATCTTCTCCTCAAGGGTTCCTCTCGTGATAAGGCGGTAAACGTTGACAACGCGTTTTTGGCCAATTCGATGAGCGCGATCCATGGCCTGTAGGTCCCGCATGGGGTTCCAGTCGTGCTCGACAAAAATTACCTGCAATGACAAATTTTTTTTTTAAGGAATTATTTATAAATTTGTTAGAAACAGTTCTATCAATAAGATATAAAAAAAAAAAATTAAAAATGCATTTGTACATGAATAAAAACTAAAAAAAAAAAATTGCCTCAAGTTTGAAATGGTTTTATGAATAAACAGCCATAAGAATATTCTCAACCTCTTACTGCCAGGTTAAGAACAGCTAAGTAATTAAAAGATTACAAATGGAGAAATAGTTTTGTTTATAAAAACTCACGGTATCTGCCCCTATCAGATTGAGTCCTAGCCCTCCCACTTGTGTTGTGAGCAGCAGCAGATCGATGGAGGGATCGGCATTGAACCGTTGCACAAGGGCATGTCTGGATCCTGCAGGGACTGAGCCATCGAGCCTCAAGTACGTCACACTTGGCAAGTGTCGCCTATAAGGTGTTAAAAAGAGGAAAAAAAAAAAGGTTTACATGCATTTCAAAGAATGGGGTGCTTGTGATTTTTGCATAAAAATGACCCTATATCCTACAGAATACAACAGATAAAAAAAAAAAAAGTGCATATTTGCTGACAAGAAGTGTTTACTTACTTTAATAAATCGTCTTCAATTATGTCTAGCATGCCCTTCAGCTGACAGAAAATAAGCGCCCGATGGGGTGACACAACAACTTCAGTCTCTGTTCCTCCACCAGTACCAATGCCACAATCCAGAAGCAACTGTCTGTAGTGAAGATACCAATGTAAATGTTGTGTTATACAGCCTACAAGGGAGACCTGTTTATATATGAATACATTTCAGTATTGGCCCAAAAAGAATGAAATAAAGCAGTATTTCATCTTAGGTATGTAAAGCACACTAAATGAAACAAAAAAATAGACCTTGAATTATCCATATCATATATATCATATTAAAAAAGCCTAGTTGTAAACAAGCTAAAGTTTAACTTCAGTATATGGATAAAAAAAAAAAAAATAGTCCAACCACAGACTTACTTGAGAGCAGGCAATTTTGCAGAATGTGTTACATCTGACAGAGAAGAGCTGCATTCCTTGAGCTGGGCTGTTACCCGCTCGTACTCGGGATGTTGTGGCTTTAGTACGAGCTTCGGGTGGTTGCACACTTTTCTCAAATACTGGAGTGCCTGGGGTTTCAGAACATATTATTTTTAAGTAGTTGGAAAAAAACTACAAACTGATTCACTGGGCTACACAAAACTTTTGAAAAAAAAGTGTTTGTATTACCCATGTAAATTCACTGCATGAAATTCAATTAATTTCAATGAAAACAAGTATAATGTAACTAAAAATAAGGATGATATTCTCATTAAGAATGAGGATGCTGTCACCAAAAAAATATTGATTTTACAAAGATAATAATGTAACTGGAACAGATAAGAATAATAATAGACACTTATTCTCTCACCTGGAATATATGACTATGGGGCTTGTTTCCAACTTCCTTCTCTTGGTCAGTACTTCTAAGTGCATCATTAATATCCTGGTTGGCTTGTGTACGAGCAAAGTCCTCATACAACTGTTGTTGCAAAGGACTTAGATCACAGTAATAATCCTGTAATTGAAATTCCAGTGTTTTTGATATTGGCCTATACTTTTTCTTTTTTTTCGTCTTTTAGTGTTATATTTAAAATCACTAGTAGTGATAATAAACATATTACATTATGCCTTATATACTCCTAGCTAAAAGCATAGTAAATAGTAAAAGAAATGGCTTTGATGCTTAAGTGCAGTCCTCCCCACTTCCAAATTCACCAACTAATCACTGCCAATATCTGAAGCTTCATTTTGATTTCTGATAATAATAATTAAAAAGTGGCAATACAAGTAAAAAGTGCATGTATCACATACAGATATCAAAACTGATCAAATACCTACACCAACTGGTGAATCTAAAATAGGCAAGATGTGTACATGGTAAGTCTCAAAAGGTCTCCCTAAATTTTATACCTGAGTAATCTTGGGAGGCAAATCCTTCAGGACATCTTCCTTGACTCGCCGCAGTAGGAAAGGAAGGACCTGCCTGTGAAGTGCCTCCATAGCCAGAACACCCGCTTCTTGCTCCTTGCTTGAGCTCTTGGCATCCCGTGACTGAAGGATTGGTTTGGCATAGCGGGCCATAAACTGCCGTTCTGTGCCCAAGAATCCAGGCATCAAGAAATCGAAGAGTGACCACAGTTCTAGGACGTTGTTTTGTATGGGGGTGCCGGATAGAATCAGCCGATGGTGGGCCACAAGTTGCTTAATGGCTTTTGAAGACTGCAAGAACATGAAGGAAAATACTTATACTTCTCAAATCTTCCCTCTTATTCTTTCTTTCTAATGAATTGACCTAACTTATAGGAAAGAAACAATAACATGACTAATTTTCTATACAATATAAATATCTAGAATTACCCACATGATGATATATAATTGCATATAAAACCTAGAATCAGAATAAATGAAATACCTAAGAATAAGCAACAATAAGCAAGAGACTTCTATATGGATATAGTAATGTGTTTAAGGATGAAATGAAACAAAGTCAAAATATGATGTGAAACAAATCCTGTTTTGAGTCAAAATAGACACCACACAAGACAATAAAATTTAAATACTTTGTTTTATCTTTTGACTGGAGTCTAGTCTGACTCAAAATGTCATTTTACTATTCCTTTCTTTTGCCATGTTTCATTTCAGACCTTATGTCTAGGAGAACCTTGAAACATATATTCCAAAATGTATTAGTTTCTGAAATCTATAACAGATACATCGTTTTTTCCTTGTCTAATGATTTTGTAACATTATAAGAAAGAAAGAAAGAAAAAAGGTAAAGGCAAAACTGAATCCAAAATACATTACCTTTGTTTTTCCATTTTTTATAACATGACCCTCATCGAGAATCACGTAATTCCACTTAATTTGTGAGAAGAAATCAATCTCATTTCTTACTATGTCATAAGATGCTACTATCAGGTTGTGGTCAGGGAAGAACCTCCTTAGTCTATAAAAATAACAATATTCTTAATGATGAGGATAATCTTAACAATAATAATAATAATGATGATGATAATAATGATGGTGATGATGAAAATGTTTTGGGGGTAAAATCCCTTCCTTTAGCCACTTATATTCTTACATTATCTTATCTTCAAGCACAAAATAAATTGAAATTTGAAAGATAAAAAAATATATAAATTCACTAATGATATGCAACTACACCTATATGAATGACAAAATACTCTACGGTTGATAAAATAGCTGCACAACAGCAATACACAACCGAGGACTTTAAAAATATTATTCTACTTTTTACAGCTTTTCTTGTCTATAGCAGTAGTAGTAGTAGTAAAAGTAGTAGCAGCAGTAGTAGTAGCAGTAGTAGTAGTAGTAGTAGTAGTAGTAGTAGTAGTAGTAGTAGTAGTAGTAGTAGTAGTAGTAGTAGTAGTAGTAGTAGTAGTAGTAGTAGTTTCTTGTCTATAATAGTAGTAGTAGTAGTTTTTTTTGTGTGTGTGTCATATGCTTACTTGTATCTCTCTGCTGGAGGGCCAAAGTAGTGTAGTGGATTCAAGTATTTCCTCTTGACAAACTTCTCAACCTCATAGACCCAATGTCCTGTGAGGGTCGGAGGGCAAACCACCAGGGATTGGAGGGGTTTACTTCCCTTCTGGCCCGACTTCTGCAAGGTGACACATCAACACTCGTAAGTAAAAGATGGTAAAATCAGGAGTAACTGAGTATCATTAAATGCTAAAATTATTTCTGGAACCAAAAAAACTTGCACACAAATTATGCCAACTACATCCTGGGGAAAAAAAAAAAATTGGTCATTAAATATTTGGCAAAAACAATGCACTTACCTGATATTCCTTTCTTTTGCTGAAGTGATCACCTGCTAGAATGCAGATTGACTGCAAAGTCTTGCCAAGACCCATGTCATCACACAGGATTCCATGAAGTCTGTATTGGTTCAGGAAATAAAGCCAGTTCACTCCACTCTGTTAAAAAAAAAAAAATCATTTATTTAAAACCTTTTTCTCTTCCTCTACTTCAAATGTTACCAACTGTTTGGGTCAATTACATATTGGCATCTATAAAGCTACATTTACTTTGCCCTTTACATGCTTGTTCTTCAATAATGATTCATCATTGCATACTGTGCTGTAGGAGAAATCTTAGGAAATTCTAATACATTTTAAAAAAAGATTGTCAACCTGTGACAGCATACAATCTGTCATGGTTATAGTCTTCCTTTTCTACAATCCAAACCTTTTAAACTAATTTTCACATTTTGGCTCATTTTCATGCATAAAAGAACAATCTGTCCATCTTTGTGGAGCTGGAGAAATCACAATCAAAATTATCTGTACAATACCACAAGCCTGAGGACATACATACTTGAAATACACTTAAATGGTATTTACTAAAGTTTATACTAGAACTGATAACATTATCATTACAGATCAAACAGATCTCCTCTTATACATAATCAAATCACCCTAGATACTAACTTTTAAGCAAATGGAAATCATTGCAGACAATTATTCACAATTTTTACACACTTCATTAAATAAACCTACTTGTTGGTATGACCTCAACTCTGCATTAATAGGCAAGGGAACATTGTAATTCTCAATTTTGGATGGATCAAGCAGTCTCTCGAGGAACTCCCTTTCTCTTCGCTTCTGCTGTAAGAGGACATCACTCAGATTGGGAGGGTCTGGCACACCCCCCTCAAGAGGCAGTAATCGGATGAGAGTTGCAAAACAATGTGTGGCCATGAGGCGGACACTATTGTCTTGGTCACTCATACGACCTGCGTAAAGAAGCGAAGCAAGAAATTAATTTCTCTATGCATAAATATTATTATGGGGAATATATGCCATGTATCAGTTTTGCAGAACTACAAAATTATAAAGACTGAGCTGATGTACTTCTCTAAGATAACAAGAAGTTACTCCTGTCCTTTCCTAAATTTTTGCCCTCTTAAAATCAGATCAAGATTCTATTCTTAATCATCAACTTCATGCTCAACAGACTGCTGACAGGTACATGCATTGTCCACTCTGGTTTTCTTTTATTAATCTATTTACACAATAATTATATCCTATCAAGTCAATGTAGACCATTTCTCACACCATGATGACATCTTTGCATCATGCACAACAATGATATTAAGCATACCTGATCTCACATGTTTCTAACATTCTTTGATTTTTTTTTAAGTTTTCATTTCTATTACTATTATTAGTGTTATTATTAATAGCATTATCATCATTACATTATTAACAATAATAACTAATAAAGCTACAAATTTTTCTTTCCAAAAATTCAAGGAATGTGGTAACTGATGAGGTTATGTAGGTCTAGAAAGTGACTCAGCACTTCTGTAGCCATCAACAAAACAAAACTAGTGGACAATACATGTGCACATGTACACCCAGCAACAACAGATTAATAGAAATTCCAAGCATTATATTAAGCTCCCAAAGAGAGATGAATTACATATCTCCTCTTACTAACACAACAGCTGTGAGAGCATTTACTATAATCTGCAGCAAATGCAATTTACAGAATTTGCTGTGGGGGTTGAACCTATTGGCCACATGTACTGCCCATCACAGGGTTTTGTAAATTTTATTGTGCAAAGATGGCTCCATAAGTACTCAGCCAACAAGGAGTCAATTAACAAGCCCTTGTGATCACACCTGATTTCCCTGTTCCTTGAGTTTCCAGGATTTTTTTTTTTATATACTGCCATTGTCATTATTACAACTGACACTACAATTATTATATCAAGGTACTAACAATAAAAAGTAAGAATCTTGACAAAAATCTAGGAAAAGGGTTAACAGGTACACACATGGGTTAACCCAAATCTGACGGACACGGAATGTATGTACATGCCATGCTCACTGTGAGTTTACTTTATCAATTGTTTTTACACATAGATGGCTACACTTGTACTAAGGTACGAATGAACCAGGTATGTTTACCATTTTACTTGATTTTCGATAATATTTAACATTAGCTTATATTACTGTTATTAATGTCACTAAGTCACCAATGAGCCAATTATGTTTACCCTTTTCCTTGATTTTCGAAAATATTTAACGTTAACTTATATTACTGTTATTAATGTCTAGAACATTAATTTATTATGCCTATAATAAAAATAACATAAATAATCACAGTATTAGTAAAAAAAAAAAAAAAAAAAAAAACACAACACGTTTTTCCCACCAATTCAAGGACAGGTGAAATCAGGTAAGGTCACAGGATCTACTAATTGACTCCTTTGTGGCTAAGCACTAGCAGAGCCATCTATGTCCAGAGACATTTCACAAAAAAAGCACAGGATTTTCCCGACAGCATCGAGTGAAGATATTCTGTGTATGTATATCTTGTACATAATGCAAATACTGCTTTAGAATATTCTTTAGTAATTTATTATAACCCACAAGGATTTTACTTGTTGCACAGCTCCTCTATTAAAAAATTCTGCCCAGATACCAATGACAATAAAGAGACCTTGCTTACCTAATAAAGGCACAATAAGGAGAACAATGTAAGGCACAACATCAAATCCCAAACGATCAATGACAGCAAATATGCATTCAACAGCTCCTTGTCGCTTGTTATCATTATCGATGGCAGTCAGCGCTGGCACAACCTGCTCCACCACATAGGTCATTACAGGCACAGTCAGCACAGTGGCAAGGGAGCCCATCACTCGAGTTGTCATGTGGCGCACTTCACTGTATGGATGGTAGAGCCAGTGCTCAAACAGCTCTAACTTTGTCTCGAACTGGAAAAATTCATATTTGTTACTAGTATATTCATTCCATTCATTCATTCTTTGCATCATTTGTAGATAGATTAATGATGATTTTGTGTTCTGTACATGTGCAATTGTTTCTGTAAACTGAATTTCAATTATCTCAAGAACAGGGTACTCCATCAAGATGAAAGCTTGCAGGTTTATTGCTCAGGACCCTATAAAATGCAATGAAAAATGAAAACTTGTCTGTATAAGCAGTTCCTGGAAAAAATAAGTAAAAATAATTAAGAAAAATAGATGCACTTTAATTTTCTCATTAACCAAGCAGTGTGTGAGTTTGTGAGAGCCTTTTTTGTATGCTGAACTAGGTATATTCTAAAACTGTGTTAGTATGTGTTTCATCTCGGGCACAATGCTGTGTGTGTGTTTGTATGTCTTTACATATGAATATTTATATTCAAATCATGTCCCTAATTGAAATTCATCTAATTCATACAGGTTTACTTTGAACAGATACTTTCACATCCAATATTTTTCTCTAATAAATTATACATTCACTTATAAAATTTTCATTATTCAATTAGATAAATAAATAAAAAATTATACTGATACAATGAATAGAGCATATGGTTGTTTTTAATCCAGTTTACATTAAACACTTTTTCTTTTCTTTTTTCTTAATCATTTTATATATTAATCACCCTGCCCCATCAGTGGTACAACAGTCAACCAAATATCAAATACGTTAAGCAGGATACTAATTGTGCTAACTTCTAATCTAAGAACACTCAACCCCAGTCCAGACATCAGGAGAGTAACCAACCTCTGCAACCAACTTAGGATGTAGTGTTGGTACCACAACCTCCAGGAGCTGCAGCTGGTGCACTGCCTCCTGTGAATCCTTCACAGTAACCTCATTCTGGGGAGGTGCAATGAATGGACTACACATAAGATCCCACAGCTGAGGAACTTTGGTTGGCAGTTCAGCACCAAAGTACTGAGCAACATGTGTCAGGGCAGTTGTGCATCCTCTCCGTTGAATTTCTGCTAGCTGTTGATTCTGCAAATCAAAAGGTCAATTGACTTTCAAGTTTGAATTCATTTATTTTAAAAGCATATGATGTGTATATATAATCATACTATTTCTAATTCACAACATCCTACTCTAAGGTTTCAGGGAAGAAAACAGATGTTTTCTACTCCACATTCACCGTGCCTGCTATCTAGTGTGATGTTGAAAAATATCTGCTCACTCATAGATTTTGTATCTTTACACTACATCCTGTGAACTGCTCATTTTAATGTTCCATTTCCTTTGACTGTCAGATGCTATTTCTAATACCAGTAATTAATAATAATAATAATAATACAATTAGCAATAATAAGTAACAATAACAAAATTACAAAAGGGAACAATAACATATTAATAAACAATCACAATCTACCTCCGAGTCTAAGATCGCCTCAGTAACCTCACTAGGGTCTTCTTTCTTTGCATTGGCCGGCGGTCTTCCTGGGCCTCGTCCTGTAATTGATGAAGTTCGCCTCAGAAGCTGGCGCTCTGCATTCTGTAAAAGTTGTGTAGTCATAAGAATAATGGAACCTATTTCATTCTGTAGTAGATTATGCATTAAAGTAATAATACATGTAATTTCCAAGTTCAAGTACGGATCTTGATTTTAAGCCTGATCTCTCTTCTAGCAAAGCCCACACTTTATCTTAACCCATGAATAGTGCAATTACAATATCCTGCCATTCCCACAGTGCATAGTACATGACAAAAAAGTGAAATTCCAGACAACTATTTTTTGTTACTTAACTCAAAGACAGTGGGTGACGATATCATATTATAGTGAATAGTTTAGATGTCTTATCACAGCTAAAATCAGTGTCCCAATTGCAGGAATGAGATCTCACACATGCCAACATGAGATGGATGACTGCCTATGCATAGAGAAATGCATACAAAAGAATGCCTATCCTAACCTAACTATATCAAATTTTACTCATCATGAAGACAAGATAAAAATGAGCAGTAATTTTGATATACAACTCTGGAATCTATACAGGAAATGCACCTATGTCACAACAAATTAAATAAATGCTGTATATTAATAACTATAATCAACACATTCTCATATCTACAAGTTCACAATTTAATTATAAAAAGAGGATATCTGTACCTTTAGCTGTGATGACAAGCTCAAAATTCCTTTTTGTTTATTGGCATCTCCTGTGTTCTTGGTTTCCTGTTAAAAAAATGGGTTACTAGCTTCAAATATAACCCTTAATGATAGCATTTTGAGAACTTCATATGCATAGATGAAAATGGTTAATGGTTAATGGTTAGAAAAGATAAATGTCCTAGACATATAGGGCTATGGTAAAGTTTGTGGCATAAAGGGTGGAATTAACAATCAGGATAAGATGTGTTTAGATATCAGAGATTGTAAAACGATGTCAGATAGGATGGCAGTGAAAAGGGTATAGAGGGGGAGCAAATGGAATACAGTGGAGATTTGTAAATGGGCAATCAGATAAAATGGAGAGTATGTGTCTGAGGAAGGGAGAGTAACACTGTATGAGGAAATTGAAAAAGAGCGATTATGAAACAATCAAAGGATAATATGGTCAGAAAAGATAGTTGTAGAAGTAGGAGAATCCTGAGAAGTTGGTGAAGTATCGGAAAGAATATCATGTGGGGAGGGATCCAGAGAAGGACATTGTTGAGGCATAAAGGAGTCAAATGAGCATCTAAGTGGGGGTGGTAAGGATAATGAGGAAGGAAGAGGGAATGGTGATGCACATGGAGAAGAGGATGGGGTGTTTTTGGGTGAGTGGGAGGAAGAGGGGTAGGGGGAACTTGAGGAGGAGGAGGATGGATATCGGCAAATACTTTAAATGTAGAGCGTATAGTAATAAAGGGATTAGAGGATGGGTGAAGGAGTGAACTATTCTCTTGAGTCATGATTAAGAACTTTTGGATGTCTTCAAGAGTTTCTGGAGGGGGACTGAATGGGGAGGTCTGAGAAACAAAGGTTTTCTTATGCGAAGGAGAAGAGGGAATAGATGTCTGAGGAGCAGAGGAAGAGGTGGGTGTAGGAATGTGGTAAGAGAAGATGAAGTGGAACATTTAGATTGTCTGGTGTGACGGGTAGAGTGAGAAGGAGGAGGGCGAGGCAACAGGGCAGTGGTAGAGATCAGTGTCTGGATTTAGAATGGAAAAGGAATTTGACTGGGGGAGAGAGGGAATAGAGACAGGATGGTTTGGAGTAAAAGGAAGAGATACTGGGGGAGATGCTGAGACTTCTTGAGAAGACAGGAGGGGAGCAGAGCAAAGTACAGTTTTGGAATAGGTAGAAAGAGACTATAGAGGGAATCACAAAGAACTAATCCCACTTGGCTGGGCCAAAAAAGGTACTCAAAAGATTTGTAGGGGTGAAAACAGTAGAAGGATGAGGGTAGGAGGAAGATGGGGTGGTATGGGGAGAGCTAGTACTGTTGGGAGGAGGACAATAAGGATGAAGAGTAGTAATAAGAGGGGTGGGGGTAGACAATGAATAAGAATGTGCAGTAGAAGATGGAGTGGAGGATGTTGAGAGAGGGTGTATTCTGAAAGATGAGTAATGACTTGGGTGGATAATTCGGAAACCAATAAAATAAAATCTAGAAAGGCTAGTTGATGAAAGGGCAAGCCTTAATGCCCCCAATAAGGGTAAAATGTCTTCATTACTGACCATGGTGAGCCTGAAATAAATAGAGAAAGAAAGGGCTAGACAATTAACCAAGAGAAGACTGTGCCCATGGCTCCTGGAGGCCTTTCATGACTGACAAAAACCCAGCCTTTCATTCTTTCAGCACAGCTCTCACACCTTAGAAAGTGGACAGAAGAAGGGGATGAAGAAGAGAAGGAATGGAAAGGGGGAGAAGAAAAGACCATGCAAAATTAGTTGAGGCTTGGGCTGAGGACTAAGGTAGGGGTGATCCCCTACATTGGGCCCCAGTATCCATCTCCTAAGCTCCCCCATGATAACAGTGAGCAAGGGATTAGGGGGTCAGAGATGACAAGATAACTAATTATTATTATATATAGAATGTACTAAAATTGCCAATTTGTACATCAATTATTTTTTTCAATTTATATTCTCTGCATCAGCTTAACTTACGTACATGTTTTTTTCTCTCAAACTATATTATCATATGTACTATTTTCTCTCAATTTATACTATTATGTACACCATTCTTTCCTAATTTACACTATTAGATACACCATTTTTTCCTTAATTTACCTCATGAGGAATTTTAGGAGTAAATTCCTGATCTACACAGAGAAAAGAAGCAAGATTCTTGATCACTTTGCCATTTGGGTTGGTTTGTCGGTCCATACACAGCTCCAGCAGTTTGGTAAGGTCCCTTGCTGCTAAAGCCTGTGAGAGAGATAGTTAAAAAAAAGAAAAGCTTGATATGACTATTATATAAAATTGATGCCTAAATGATATCTGAATATCTAATCACATTTAAAGAGTCCTACAATCTTGTTTTGGATAACAACATAAATGGTATATAAGTACATAAGACAGCTTATATTTACATTTGAGTGCAATACCTAGAAACTATCTCTTTTCAAAAAGTAAATTTTTGATATAAACTGCCCAGCTTTTCATTCATACTGACATCTCTTAATGTTAGGCAAGTTATTCCAATATGTGCTGAATTATTTTTCAATCATCTTCTTTTCAGGTGGAACAAAAAGAAACTTAGACCTAGTTGTACCTTGCAAACCAGGGGCTAAAGACTGTCCCATACCTGCAATTGTTCGATCTTTTCCTTCTTGATGCTGTCCATGAGAGGCTTAATAATGGGGTTGAGCTTGGGTGGTAAAATCCGAAACCTCACTACAGCGCCAGAGATTATTGCCTGAGTCCTGTAAACGAGGATAAAGAAGACAAGTTAACAATGGTATTACATAATAGATCAAGAAGGAAACAATTTTGGTTTTCTAAAACTATTATCCTTATCGTATATTACAAAGTAAGAGGTTACAAATGGGCCTTTGGTTTGCAATGATTGAAGGATGAAAGCTGTACTTCAATCTTTTACTGAGGCAAAGGTACATAAGAACAGTTGTTGATAAGTGATGAGAGGCTGACAAAAGGGATATGAATATATGTGAATAAAACATCTACAAATGAAAAGTTTCCATAATAAAGGTTTCTAACAATATAATGATAACATAATATTGAATCAATACTATAGAAGAACCGTCACAGAACTTACGTTGTAGATAAGCTTATCTGGTCTGTTGAGGTTTGCGACACATTATTTTGAATAGCTTTTCGTCGCTCCTCCAGTGTACTATAAACTTTGGGTCTAAGGCGTCCTCCGCTAAATAATGTTAAAGCTACATGCCCGCTGAGATTCTGAATCTGAAATAATAAAAGTAAAAAAAAATACATATCAATAAAAGTAAAAAAAAATACATATCAGGAAAATGACTCTTATGGCTAAAATGCTGTAAATGAATGATGGTACAGTCGCCTACACTTCCAAATTTACAATTCAGTGCTGCCAATATGTGAACCATCCAAGTACATGTCCCATTCTTATTCCAGAAGGGTCTGTGCTCCTCCTGAAAATCAAAAACTTGAACAATTGAAAGTATGTGAGGTGACAGTCCTTTACCCTTGCATTCATCAAATGGAAGCACATACACCACTAATCAAACTCAAAAGAAAACTGCCTGAGGGGTACTGCATCTAAAACTAGATCAAGCAAAGTAAAAGGATTATGTGTTATTCTTACAAAAGGACTTCTCCACTGTTGTTGGAATGGCATGTCCTTATGTGCCAGGTCCACAGTGAGTTCAGTTTATTCATTGTATTTACATATAGAAAGCTGCACGAGTGATTAGTAACCAATAAGCCATTCACTACTTTGACCAATCTCACCTATTTGATTTCTGGAAATATTTCATCTTATTTTATATTACTGTTAGCATTGTCAATAACACTGTAATAATTATAATATCGAAAATGATAATAACAGCACCAATATCAACAGCATGAGAGAGCCATCTATGGGTAGATACATTTTACAAAATACTAGGCTAAAAACACAAACACATTCTCTTCCCCTATTATATGAAATAAAAAGGCTGATACATCAGTGTTCCATCTTTTTCAAAGAAGTAATCAGTAATTCCTACATTTCATGGATCTAATTCTTAGTCAATAAACTAGTCTTCTAAAAGGTCGACAATCTTGCCCTTGCTCTGAGCTATCCAAAGTCACCAGCCACTGAGTGACCATGATGTATCACCTTTCCTCTCCCCCATTACTCATGGAGTACCACCACCTAGCATGAGGAGAAGTCACAGTGAATAAAAGGTAAATTCCTTTTTTTCGTACATTCTGACCAATTTATGCATACTTTTCTTGATTTCATGAGCTTTTTTTCTCACAAATTATAAACATGTGATAGAAATATAAAATCAAGATCTACCTGTCTTTAGGGTTTATTTGAAAAGTTGCTCCTGATTACATAACATCAAAACAATTTAAACAACAACAGACACCCATGTGCCAAAAGCGAAAAACAACAGACAGCACAATCCCAAATAAATTAAACAAGAAGGCACTATGTCCATATGACTAAAAAGTTAAATAATAACAGACAACAATAAACCACTATAAGTGCCACTAAGCCAAAATAGACAAAATAACAAGAGAAACTGCTTAGGCTTACCTGTTCTAAGGTTAATACTGGAGCATTTATGAAGGCCTCATCTAAAGGAAGCTTATAATGTCTTAGCATAGCCATGAAGTCACGTGTTTCCTGCTGTAATCTGAAAATAAATAGACACATTATAAAGGGAGAAATTCCACATGTAAGCATATATACCACATATATCATACTTCTAATAACAAATGACCATCTTTATACAACACATACACCTGTAACAAACCTATCATCAAAATCCAAAAGAAGAAAAGGACATTGCTCAACTCACCTTGTAAAAGACAAAGCAATTTCATCATAGTAGACAACCTCCATCAGACATGAATGTAGAGCATTCTGAAGGAGTGAATGGCACTCTTGGTTGGCATATATTGATGCCCATTCCCTAACCACAGCCCCTGCTGCAAGTCGCTGCACTGCCGAACGAGAGCTGAGATGTGCAATAAGAAGGCGAATGTAGCATAGAACAGGAGTTTCCTCGGGAGGGTATACTATCCCTGGCATGGGCTTAATCACATAGTTTGAAAGGCAACCTGGAACAGTAAAAAAGGATGTGATCCTTACCTTCAAAAGGCATAAAATAAAAGTGGAAACAACATGAAAAAAATAGTAAATAAAAACAAATAAAGTACCAGCTTTTCTACTTCACCAGTCAGTATCATTAATATGTGAACCACCAGCCACTACTGGTGTATATGAAACACATGCCAATATAAATAATAGTATGTATACTTTCAGACAAAATGAAACTAACAGTTCACTCACTAGCAACACACAACAATAAATTTGGGCAATAAATTCTTCCTTTCTAATTAATATAGCCACAAACCTTATACCAATTACCAGCAAAATAAAATCATGATTTTTTATGGGCATTTACCTAGGAGTCTTGCAGCAGCACATCTGGCCCTCACAACCACAGATTGTTTCTCACAAGGATCATTATACTGTTCACAACCTCCCAGGTAATATTTGGCTTCAGCTTTTTCTGCTGGATCACTCAGGGCGCCGACACGCAATCGCTTCCCCTCACCTGACTAAAAGAATAAGTATGTTAAAATAGGTATAGATGAAACAGACATGTAAAACTGTAATATCATGGTATGTATGGAGACAGGGAGAGGTAATGTATGTATGTGGCAACCATATATATACAGGGTGTGTACATGCCAATTTCCCTGGAATTTATTCTCCAATAAACCTTAATATACCTGTAGAGAAGAAAAACTTAGCACCACACCTTATTATGATGAGCAATTAGTAAGAGTGTTGGCTCAAGTGGAACCTTGGGGTTGGCCATCATGAGGCAGAGCCAAGAAGCAATCATAGGACACACAGCTGGCAGCAAGCTCTCAAGGCTCGTCCTTGCCAGCATCTGCTCCCATATCTGTTAAATGAAACAAAAGAAAAAAATATGTAATCTTAGTTTTCAAGGGCCATAGTTTATTAACTGTTTCCACATAGATGGCTCCACAAGAACTTAGTCACCAAGTAGTCAACTTCTAGTCCTATCTATCTCACCTGTTACCCCTTCTCCTTTATATTTAGAGATTATTTTTCTGTCTGTTGCTATTAGTATCTTAATAAGATAATAATAATCATAATGTTGATAATAATAACAGTATTGATTTCAGCCAATGGTGACAAGATTTCCGCATAACTCAGGGGAACGCACCTTGTTCTGTACACATTAGGCTATGACATACATGGTTTTCCAGTATCTGAGACAAAGATAAGGCTCTAACCTAACATATCAGAGGCCATAGTTCCTGAACTGATGCACCCGAGCCACCAAGTTCCTTAAGGAGGAAAACTTGGAGCTGGCTGAGAGAGCATGGCTTTAACAACTGAAACTGAGCTTCAGCTCATTACGGGAAGAACGTACACATAGTCAATAATGGGTTAAATGGCATAAAAAAATAAACAAATAAAATAATCAAATGATGAAAGAAATCAGATGATATCACATTGGGCTACAACCTGACTTATTGGTGGTTGTGCACTTGTGGAGCCATCAGCGTGCAACAAAAAAAAAAAAAGTACATGTATGTACCTGTGTTTAAAAAGTTAAGGAATCATACATTAATGATAACAGCGCTTAACAAAAGGCACATAAGGATATCAATAGTTACTGATAACAGCAATTAAGAATGGGTGTTTTAGAAAAGAGCATTTTACATCATTTACTGATTACTGATGATTATACAGTTATTCCCTACCTTGAAAACAAATTCAATATTTTCTTCAGAGGTTTCTAACAACGCTCTCTGATAAATGTGAGTGAGAGCTGGTTGGATGATGGGGTTTAGCCAATCCAGATAATCCCCACATTTCGTATCCTCTTGAGGAAATTTGACATCTGCTTCATTATTTTCAGGTTCATTTTTCACTTCCTCCTTTTCTTTTTCCATTTCCTCCTCTTTTTGCTTTCCCTGTTCTGTTGGCTCATTTTGACTGCTACTCTCATCCTTTTTCATCTCCTGATCATCTGAGGGAGGGACTTCCTTGTCATCTTGTTTCTCCTCGTCTACCAACATCTTATCATCTTTGCTGATATTTTCCTCTGCCTCCGGCGACTTCTCCTCCACTTTGGCTGTTGCACTGTCATGAGAATTTGTGCTTTCTTGTTTACTATCTATCTTACTACTTCCTTCTGCCTCTGAACGTTCTTCCATTGCCATTTCCTCCACTTTGGCTGTCACTTTTTCATAACAGTTTGATGAGTTTTCTTGTTTAATATCAACTTGTGCTTCCACTTCTTGATTTTCTCCTTTAACCTTTGCATTGTGTGAGGCTGATGTGAGGGTGGCTAAAGTTGCAAGGGCAGATCCTCGCACAGAACTACTCGAGTGGTAAAGAAATGGCCAAAGCCTTGGAGCCAGTTCTTTCAGGTCACTTTGCATGCTGTCAGATATAAAAGAGGCAATCATCAGTAAAATTGTGCACAGCTTTTAAAATAACTCTACATTATGTCTCCCAAGATTAATTTATATCTATATATCAGATACTTAATACATCACATTTATATGGCTATGATTTGGAAACCCATATTCAGGACTAATAATCTAATCACACAGCCCCTATGGGACATACGTTAGGCTTCCTCAAGTAAGGATGAAGACAACACAGGGCAGACTGAACTATTATCCTAGGGTACTAGCTTGGAGGAAAGTGGATAAAAGTTGTTATTTAGTGTGCTGAAGTACCACAACTCAGATTGCAAAACAGTTAAAAACATGAAAATGCCTTTGAACATTATCTAAAGTATGTCTGCTTGCTCCTTTTTACACACCTGGCATCACTACTTAAATGGGAAAGAAGTTTTGATAAAAGCAGTAATATGGAGTTGGTCGAGGAAGTTAAGTCATCTATGTCAAGAAGCGAATCCCACAATGTAGCCACCAGCTTTGTAACTACTTTTCGGTCCAGCAGCAAGACAACGCTGTCAGACACAGGCACCAGGCAAGATGCAGCCACAGCCACCACGTCATCCATCTCATCCACTAAGCCTGAAATTTTTGGAAAGACATTTTCATTAGCCAACTTTCACTAACTTATTTCACACATTTATTCTCCACCACGTTTTCTAAAAATACGTCAACACTGAGATATGTTATATTAATCTCAGTTTGTTTTCCAATCTTTTCAACATCCATCTGAAACTCATACAGCCTTTTTATGAGTCACACATTTTACTCTTTTCAAAGCTTATCTTAAATAACTTGAGCCTTTACCTCTATTCACTTTTAATCTAAATCTATCAAGATTCATTTAAGACTCATAAATAAAGTGATAAAAAGGACTTGAAACTCCAGCCCATTACGAATCACCATACCTTTGTATATGTGCGGATATGCATGAGTGAGGAGCTGCGACCTGAGGTCATCTCTAACAGCCAAGAGGTACTTGAGGCCAAGTAATCCCCCATGGCGAGCCTCCCATTCCTTCCACGACAACATTGTTTCCAGCAAGCTAAGGACACCAAAGACACCCCCCTCTGAGAGTAAGTGCAAGATTCCACCTGAAAGAGAAGGTAATTTAACTATAGTGAGATATTTGTTATTAAGACTAAGAAAATACAGAAAGAGGTGATTAATGTATATGAAAGGCTTCTGAAGATGGAAGAAAAAAATGAGTTCATAGGGATACAAAATAAGCCAGAGAAAATGAAGCTATATATGATTTTGCAATTTTTTTCAATTTCATCTTTGCAATTGATTATACTGACACTCATGACATATTTGTATGGCACTGTATAAGACTTAAATACAGAATTTAATTTAGAGTACATGTTTCTGCAT